GAAAGGAGAAAGGGGGAAGAGTAGAAAAGGGAAAGAAGGAAGAGGGGAGCAGAGAAGGGAGGAGAGAAGGGAGAAGGGGAAAGCAGAAAAAGGGAAAGGAGAAAGGAATGGAAAGGAGAAGAGAGAGGATAAGAGAGAAGGAAGGGGAGAAAGGAGAAGGGGAAGGGAGAAAAAGAGAAAGGAGAAAGGAAGGGAAAGGAGAAGAAAGAGAGGAACAGAGCAGGGAAGGGAGAAAGGAGAAGAGAGAATGGGGAAAGAAGGGAAAGAAGCAGGAAGGGAGAAAAAAGGAAAGGGGAAAGGAAAAGTGAAGGAAAGGAAAATGGGAAGGGAAGAAGAAGGGAAGGTAAAGAGGAAGGGGAATGGGGAGGGAATTTTAAAAATTAAAACCTGGAAGGGAAGCATGCATGATTCCCATAACTGGATGTTTCTACAAGGAGCAGCCTCAGCCCAAGAAGAAACTTTCCAACAGAGCCTTGGATCCCTGGGAATGCCACTGCTGCTTCCCCCTCTCCTGCCCATTTTTCCACATCCCCATCACTGGTGCTGCCTCCAGCATGGACCAGCCTGGATTCCAGCTGGATCAGCCCCTCCCCTTCCCTTCTGCCCTCCAGGGGCTGCAGCCACTGCTGCTCCAGCCAGGAGATGGGAACTCATCCAGCACGTCCAGATCAAGGCACACCAACACAGAACAGCTGGAGGAAATCCCATTCTCCAGCCTAAAGGTGCTATTTTAGATTCACAACAATTCCAGCCTGCCAAGGTCCCCAGAAAGGCGAGGGGCAGGACACACAAAAGGCTCCTGTCCCTAACGGCCACCAACAAGAGCCTGGAAACACTTCTGGCACAAGGAATTCTCCTGTTATTAAAGAAAAGGAAAAAATCACAAGGATTTCCATGGGAAAAGATCAATGTGCAGACTCAAGAGCAGGAGGACAGCAGGGAATAGACGCTGGATAAAGCCCCAGGATCTCAAACTTTCAATTTGTTTTTTTAATATACATTTCAATTTATATTTTTCTCCCTCCTGTATATTCTTAACTTCCATTTGATATTTCTCAACCTAAGTTTCAATTTATATTTTTCTCCAGCAAATGACAGGAGGAAAATTCTGTCAAGCTGCACATCCACAAAGAGCCAGAAACACCATTTGAACCCAAATATATGATCCAAACCCCCTAAATCTATGGGGTGATGTTGAACAAATCCTAAAAATGTGCCTTCCTGGAAAGGCTGGGGCTCTGCAAAGCTTTAATTGCTCATGGGGAAGCAATGAAGTGCTGAATATCTTTTTAAATATCAGTTACAGCCCTGTCCTATAGCAGTTCAGCTGCTTGGTTTTGGGATTTTGCTCCTTCAAGGGCTCTCCCCTCTCCTGGTCCCATTTCCCAGGATTTTCTGGGAGTGCTGACTTAGGGAAAAGCTCACACAGAGCTGGATTTGCACAGAGCTGCTCCAGCCTCCAATTCTGCTGCCACATCTTGAGTGGGACAACTGACAAACCCAGGGAGGGGACTCCGGGGAGGAGGTGATATTGTTTTGTTTCTTTTTGGGGTTTTTGGGGAGTTTTGTTTGTTTATTTAGGTTTTTATGGTTTTGTGTTTTTTTTGTTTTGTTTTGTTTTGGGGTTTTTGTTGTTGTTTTTATTGGTTTGGGTTTGTTTTTGGTTTTGTTTTGTTTTTTATAAGCTTCAAAAGCAATAATGCCCCTGAAAACAACAATGAGAATGGCTGATACTGGGTTAGAGATTTATATGAGGGAAAATTTGGGTTTAAAGCCCAGAATGCTGAAGGAATCAGTAAATGGAGCATTAACTTTGGATAAGCTTTCAGGGCTGCAGGTTTTTCAATACATGCACGAGAAACAATCCATGGGTGGTCAAAGGAACAACAGCAGCCACACCTTCAATAAATATTCCTGCTTTTTATTCCCTTCCTCTTGTCTGGCCTCTGTTTTTAGGTAGCTTGAAAAAGGCATCAACACCTCAAAAAGCTCAGCCCCACAATAACCACAGGCACAAACCAAGCCCAGCAGCTCTGTTTTCATGTCTAAAGCTTTTCTGGCAGGAAAAAAAAAAAGTGATTTCTGCATTTGTTTGGCAAACAAATGATGATGATCCCTGTGGGTCACTTCCATCTCAGCAGATCCTGGGGTTCTGTGACATGAGTGTGATGCTGCTGAACTTGGACATCGTCCCCATGCCCTCCCCACTGCCCTTCTTCAAAGGGATGGTATAAATCAAGACAAACCCGATTAATGCTTAATTCCTAATGTTAGGGCTTCCTGTGAGAAGGAAGATAAACCCTTTCCCTTTAATGACTAAATGATGTCTTTGGGGATTTTATCAGCAGGATGATAAATGGGGTTAGAAAAGCTGGCTTGGTGGTGTCTAAATTATAATTAGGGATGAGGGGGAGGCACAGGGGTGGGGAGGGAAGGGTTTGGGGGATCCACACCAGCACCCCCCCTTTGTGGGATCAGGCTGACTTACCAGGAAGGAGCAGAGGAAAATGAATGACACGAAGTAGAAATAGGCAAAATCACTGCCACATTCCTTTTTGGTGAGGCCAGAGAGGGGGTCACAGGCTCTGTTGCTCAAGCAGGACAACATGATCTCATGCCAGGCTTCCCCTGTAGCGCTCCTGCAACACCAGAGCAGAGGCTGAGTTTATCCACCCCTCCCCATGACAGCCACCCTGCAATAATGCTACACCCAATTAACGAAATTAATGAGGTGGAAGGTTGTGCCCAGGAGCAGAGACTGTATTTATACTGGGAATTGGAACTACTCATGAAAAAGAAAGGAGAAAGAACATTTCCCTCTGTTACAGGGGGTAAAAGAAAACAGGCAAGCTCAGGTAGGCTAAAAGTTTATTGTTTCTGTGGAGAATAAAACCTGATTGTTTAAACAGTACAAATCTGAGTAAACAGAGTTTAGATTGTTGCCTTTTGAACTTAGTGCTGGCTCTAAAGCCAGTGCAGAGGATGGGAAATTAAACCAGGCTTCTCCACTGGAATTCTTATCTCCTTTATCTGGCAGATAAATTCCAGCATGGGCTGGTTGGACTTGGGTCTCTTTTTCATCAGTCTCCTGTGATGAAATTCCCTCCTCCCTCTCTAACTTCTACTGTTGAGAGAAAAGAGCTAAAAGGAAAAACTTTGGAGTTCCAGAGAGTTGATCCTCAAAATAAAGCAGTCCCTGTGAAGTGCTGTAGGAACTCAAAATGTCCCTCAGACATTTTTGGAGG